TGGTCGTGCAACATTCATCTGCTGTCATCTCAGCAGTGATGCCTTTCCACAAAGCCTCCACTGACCCTATTCAAACCCAACTTATTGTTACTTCAGAGAAGAGATCACCATGAAATGCTGTGTGGGATGAGATACAGTGCTGTCACAAGCAGCTCACACTATTTTAACTGAGACTTGCATCTCTGTTCAGGCTCTTCTCCCACACTGCAGTGTCTACTCTTGCTTCTGATGTACCTTTCAAAGGCCACCTATGGTTCCTGTCACAGGTCAGCAAAGCACTATATTAGACACAGTGAAACACAGAAATAGCCCATTTTCCTGGCATGACAGCCTCTGTGCTTGTGTCAGATCACTCACAGCAAAGCCAGGCATGATGCAAGAACTAATAGCTAATAAAGTTTTTGGTGCTGCCTGGGTGCGGGGCAGCCCTTGGAACAGGCAAGGGCACTGCAAGTGGCTCTGTCACCTCCATCGATGACAGGACTCAGGCTCACTCTTCCAGAGCATTATCTTCACAGTGACAAGGACTGATCTGGGTGCCTTTTCTCTAGGCACGAGGTCACCATTTCCCAGCCAGGCTACACCACGGGGAACTGCCTATGGCTCCCAGTGGTTTGCTTCTGCTCAGGCACCGGCGCCAGATATGCTGCCATGCAGCTGAAGTGTTGCTTTGTATTTCCTCTGATTCATAGTGATGTGGAGGAGCCCATCTGCACATTAGGAAGTATTTCAAAACCAGGTCAGGCCAGCAGCAATGCTGAGCTCCAGATAGTGTGCTGGCTGAAAGCTGTCCTACACTGGCCACACTACATCCTTAGACCTCTGGTCCATCGCCTTTTGGGGCTCTGGGGTTTAAAAGGGCAGGGAGGAAGGGACAGCCTTGGTGAGACACAGGAAGCTGTGGCAGCTGTCCTCAGAGAGGGAAAAGAGAAGGGTGAGGAAGGGGTGGCAGGAATGAGTTTTCCTCCAAGACGGGTTGGATACCCAAAATCTGGATGATTTCTGTATGGTGCGATGGCATCTTGTCATTGAGGAGAGGAGAATAAAAGGGCATTTCAATGACTTAAAAAAAGAAGGCCATGTCTGTCAAGCCCCAGGGTGTCATATCACAACCCCAGCGGGCTGCAGCATAGACCAGCAGCAGGGTTATAATGGAACATTTGGGAACATGCGTAACTCTTCCTAAACCAAGAGTTGCACAGTAAAACCAACTGCTTAGTAACAGAAGAGGGACCGCTGGACATTTAGGACCATATTTCTCAAACTTGATCAAAACCTGCTCTGGTCCCAGGTTTTTAGTGCACCCAGTTGAGGAGTCTAGTTGTAATGACTATGCTTTCAAAGTTCAGAGCAGTGGTTTCTGCTGAGGGCTAAATACTTTGCACTGAGAGCTCCTTCAGTGTCATGCTGAAATGAGAGATGTTGGTCTTCGGAAAATCTGGCTTTTCCTTTATTTTTCATTATTCCTTTGACTTTTATAACTGCTTTTATTTGTATATCTGGAATTACTATTGAAAGAAATTAAAGCCATATTTTTTTTTACTAAAATACTTTGATGTGATTTTTAAAAAGTACTTATGGTAAATGTACACACACACATTTTATCTAGCCCTTATATTTATGAGCAGATTTACTCTTGTGAGGAATCAAATTGACTTTTCCTCACTTTTTTGATCCAAGGACCAAGAACTGCTGTGCAAGAATTTGTGTAATCAGTTTATCAAGTCACAGAGATATTTTTACTACAATAATTACCAGAAGTTCAGAAGAGCTTCCTTTGGCTCATTTCCAACTGAGCTGTAACAATAAAAACATACAAAATATGTATATGTATGTGAATATCTCTCTCCACAAATGCAAACCTTTATATAAAAAACATTGACAATAAATGTTGACAGACAGGAATTATATTATTCCAGAAATACTGCTAACCATATGAATAAAACATTTTTTTTTCTGTAAATGGTATGGTTTAATGACATAAAGTGATAGTACAAAATGGCATGTTAGATGCATGTTAGATGACAGCTGTAAGCATTTCAGGATGCTGTATTAAAAACATCTGCATAAAGGAAAAAATAGCATTAGAAAATGAAAGGAATGAAAAGCTGAGAATAGCTTCACATCCAATTTGTTGTCTGGTAGCTGCTGAAACTGTGAGTGACCAAGACCTCCTGATTTCAATAAGCTAAATATAGCAAGGTCCAGATACTTGAGATCTGGGCACACTGTGTCTCAAGTTATACATTTTGCCTTATACTACCTGACTTGTGGGGCATGTGTTTTGTGAAATGCATTCGTATGGTTATCACATGTGGGATGGTTCCAATAAGCAATGTAACCACTACACTACCGATTTCTTACCAGCTGTGGTCTAGCACAGTTTTCACTCAGTGTGCTCAAGACAGGTTTTAGACATGAAGAGATCCTGGTCTGCAAAGGAAGACTAAAATGTTTACTTAGGATATTGTACAGTAACAGGGAAATACATGTGGAGTTGATCACCCAAAATCCAGATGCAGCTACTGTTTGGCATCTGCTTCTGCTGTTTCTAATTTTGGTTTTCCTGAAGCTGAGTTGCCGTACCTTTAGTGTCCTCAGCTACCAGGTGCTGGTGCACAGACAAGGATTCCAGGAGGAGGTGACCTCATGGTGCCTCTACGCCAAATAACACAAAAGGGTTTAAAAAACCCCGATAAACCCAACCCTTGCCAACCTCCTAAACCAGAGCCACAAGCTGGTTTGATCTCCGAACAGGGGCACTTCAGAGACAGCCCTGGTCTTCTGAGAAGACCCCTGAGCCTCTTGGCCATTGCAAAGCAGAGAGCGGAGTCTCACTCACAGAGAGTGGGTAGGAGGAATGCTCCCAGAAACCTGAAACACAAGAGGCTTGGGTGAAGGATTGTAGTTTCAGTTGCTAAAGGAAAGACTCGCAGCCATGGAAGCTGTTCTTCCTATTCTGTTGGAATAAAATATACCACTGCAAACTGAAACTAAAATTGTAATACTTTGTGAAATGCTGTTCTGTTTCCTAAATAGAACTGTTAGTGTTTGAAAATGGGAAGCGTCAACAAAAAGACACCTATATGCAATGTGTCCTTTATGGAAAATTTTCAAATTCAACATATTTTGATGCCATTTTATAAAAAGTCTTTCTGGATTTTCCAGCTATCTCTGGAAGCATAAGCATCTCATGGCTGGAAATTGGACTGACAATAAGCATCAAAGCAGATGTTCTCCAAGCATTTCAAATTACTTCTCACGGGACAGAAAACCTGAAAGGAAAAAAAGTCTCTAATACAAACCCATTGAAATGTAGGGAAGCTGAGAAAGCAAGTTATGCCATTGAACAGGAGGAGATTCAGTCACTTGAAAATGGGATGAGTCTGAAAGTTTAAAAGCCCAGCAATAAGGTCAGATTCCTGAGATTTCAGTTGCTGAGCATCAGCTGAGCTGAGCTGTATGTACCCTCAAAATGCCAAGAAATGCAACTACACATAGCCTAAGTGAAAGAATGTTCGAGAAAATCAGATTAGTTTAATTTTTCCATGGGCTAGCCTGCATATACCAATAGACAATCCCTGACTCAGCTGACATGATAACTTGGTCAGCAGTAGTAATGACTGAGCTGGAGCCACAGCTGCTGTTTATGTGTCTGGTCCAAAGCCTGTAAGGAGCTCATTGTGGCTCTCCTTTCACTTCGGTGGATTTTGGCCCATTTCAAAAGTGAGGTGAAAGGAAAGCCACAACAGCTACTGAACTGTTACACCTACATGGTACTTCTGACATGGAGACACACATTCCCCTTTACATTTAGTGTGATACAGGAAGAAAGCCTCAACACATGAACACAACCTTTTTGATATTTCTCCTTTTCAGATACTCTCAAGCTGATAGGAAACAAAATAAAATCTCACAAATTATTTATAGAATCATAGAATGGTTTGGGTTAGAAGGGACCTTAAAGATCATCTAGTTCCAACCACTCCTCTGCCATGGGCAGGGACACCTTCCACTAGACCAAGTTGCCTAAAGCCCCGTCCAACCTGACCTTGAACACTGCCAGGGAGGGGGCAGCCACAGCTTCTCTGGGCAACCTGTGCCAGTGCCTCATCACCTTCACAGTAAACAATTTCTTCCTTATGTCTAATTTGGATCTACCCTCTTTCATCTTAAAACTGTTACCCATTGTCCTATCACTACACACCCTGATAGAGTCCCTCCCCATCTTTCCTGTAGCCCCCTTTAAGTACTGGAAGGCCACTATAAGGTCTCCTCAGAGCCTTCTCTTCTCTAGGCTGAACAACCCCAACTGTCTTCACAGGCAAGGTGCTCCAGCCCCGATTAACTTCATGGCCTCCTCTGGACCCACTCCAAAAGGTCCATGTCCTTTTGAATTTGAGAGCCCCAGAGCTGGACACAGTACTCCAGGTGAGGTCTCATGAGAATAGAGTAGAGGGGGAGAATCACTTCCCTTGACATGCTAGCCACATATCTCTTGACGCAGCCCAGGATACATTTGGCTTTCTGGGCTGAGAGTGCACAGTGATGGCTCATGTTCAGTTTTCCATCCACTAATACCCTCCTTAGAGCTGCTCTCAGTCCATTCATTACCCAGGCTGTATTTGTGCTTGAGGTTGCCTCGACTCTTGTGCAGGACCTTGCACTTGGCCTCGTTGAACTTCATGAGGTTTGCACAGGCCCAGCTCTCAAGCCTGTCAAGGTTCTTCTGGACGACATCCTTTCCCTCCATTGTGTCGGCTGCACCACACAGCTTGGTGTTGTCAGCGAACTTGCTGAGGGTGCATTCAATCCCACTGTCCATGTCACTGACTAAGATGTTAAACAACACCAGTTCCAATACCAACCCCCAAGGAACGCCACTCGCCACTGCTCTTCTCTTGGACATTGAGCCGTTGACCTCAACTCTTTGAGTGCGACCATCCAGCCAATTGCTTATCCACCAGGTGGTCCATCCATCAAATCCATGTCTCTCCAATTTAGAGACAAGGATGTCATGTAGGACATGTGTCAAATATTTTGCACAAGTCCAGGTAGATGATGTCATTTCCTCTTCCCTTATGTGTTGATGCTGTAACCCTGTCGTAGAAGGCCGCCAAATTCATCAGGCACAATTTACCCTTGGTGAAGCCATGTTGGCTGCCACCAATCACCTCCTTATTTTCCACATGCTCTAGCATAGTTTCCAGGAGGATCTGCTCAATGATCTTGCTGAGCAGAGAGATGAGACTGACTGGTTTGTAGTTCGCTGGGTCTTCTTTTTTACCCTTTTTAAAAATGGGGGTTATGTTTCCCCTTTTCCAGTCAGCGGGAACTTCACTGGACAGCCACCACTTCTCAAATATGATGGATAGTGACCTAACCACCTCATCCACCAGGTCCTTCAGAACCTGCAGATGCATCTCATCGGGTCCCATGGACTCGTGCACCTTCAAGTTCCTTATATGGTCTCGAACCTGATCTTCTACAGTGGGCGGTTCTTCATTCTGCCAGTCCCTGCCTTTGCCTTCTGCATCTTGGGCAATGTGGCTGGAGCACCTGTGGGTGAAGACTGAAGCAAAAAAGTCATTGAGTACCTCAGCCTTCTCCATGTCCCAGGTAACCAGGTCTCCTGTTTCCTTCCAGAGAGGGCCCACATTCTCCCTAGTCTTCACAAATCAGTTTTTCTCTTTAGCAGCAGTTTTGCTTCCAGACGTCCATTTACTGAAAGCCATCCTTCGACATATATGAAGTATCCCTTCCTCTTGCCAACCCACAGGGAATTTTATGGGCAATTACTTCCTACCTCCATCTTGAACCAAGGACTCACAGAAAGATTTATTCCTGAGCAAACATCTGAAAGCTTCACCGGTCGTGTCCAAATATTTATGTTCATGTCTACAAAGTAAAAGATTGCATCTTGTATAAAAGAAAGAGGTACGGACAAATAAAGGAAGTCTTGGTGACAAAGGAAAGTGATTAAAACTGTCAACCAGTCTGAAAGTTAGACAGATGGCTCCCAAGTTACAAGCTGCACTCCTGCTCAGATCGTAACACTGTAACTTCATTGTTATCACTGTTAAATGCAATTTTGCACAGTCTTAGGAGAGGTATTCTGTACAGTGCATCTTTCATAATTAAGAAGAAAACTATTGTCTGTTTTCCAAGTCAAATAAACCTTGTTTATCTGGAGGGAGAGTATGTGCGGTGAGCTGGTCTGAGAGACAATTTTGAAACTTTAGATCCAGAGGAGTCTGAAAGTCTGAGTTGAGGACAAAAGACTCATCTGCAGCATCATATAAAAGGCACTGGCACAGAAAGCTGTCAGGATCCCGGCTGCAAACACTTGTGGCATGTTGAAAGCCCAAGGACAATAGTCCTGACCCAGCACCGTGGAGCCAGAGGGCTCTTCAGCAAACCCACAGCGTGCACAGCGTCAAATCCCAATGGACACAAGTGGAAGGGATCAAAGGCAGCGTGAGCTTTCCCCACCTGCTGCCCTGCCTGCACATCGCTGCCTGCACGGGCTTTGTGCTGGCCCATGGCAGGCTCTTTGATCACAGCTATCATGGTGTTGCCTGACAGCAGCAAGAAAGCACAGACATACTCACTGCAGGGAGGGATGGGGTTTGCAGATGAAGGAGTTTCTATTTTGAGTCTCATCTGGTGGTCACTGAGAGAGGGTCCGAGTAAATGCTGGCAATCCAATGGGAGGGCAGGATCAGAAATGAGCAGGGCTAGAGTTAGCTGCTGTTCTTCAGCAACTCAGTTCAAAGGTCTCCCCTGGTCCCTCACTGTACTGCCACATACTGCCACTCACTATGCTGACCACGAGATAGGAGGAAAAAGCTCCAAGCAAACATTTTTGTTCCTAAGAGATCTTGAAATTACAAAGATTCATCTTAAATGTGGTGCTTCTGGTGATGTGCTTGATGTTCCTTCTTTCATCTGCTGGACTCCAGCAATAAAGTCAGTAATTGTGGCCACTCACACAGTAAGTGTGGCAGGTTCACAATGCCAACTGAAATGTATCATTTGCAATGAGCGGCAAGGTTTGTGGCTGAATTTAGGCTAAGTCCCTGGCAAATTCCACTGCTGACTCCATTGGCAGGTCTTCAGAGACAGCCTCTGGGGCTGTTTTGGATTCAGGCAATTGTTGGTTTGGCCTCTCTCTCATGTCTTCTTGGACATGGCTCCCCTTTGTCTTTCTCTCCATGACATGTATTCCCTCTGAAACAATTAGGACCTTCACAAGCTCTTTGTTTCTGACTCTGTGCAGTTTAGCACAAAGTATATTTATGCTAATTGCATACTGAAAGTGTACTCAGCTTGGCTTGGCTTTCCCTTGTCAGGACTTTTAAGAAGATACTTGTCATTGCTAGGAGCAACATTGGAGGTGATCGAGCTGCAAACTTAAAGGATCTTTCCTCCCCCACTTTACCCTCTGTTCTGGAACTGGGTGACATTAGATATTGATGCCTTGAGAGTTTCCCAGCTCTTGTTCCACTTCAAAATGTCAGATCTACTTTAAAATTTCATGGTTCCCATCCAAGCAAGCATATCTGCTCTGAGCCTGGGTGATGTCAAGCTCGGATCTGAGCAGACTTCCCCTTCAGTGGAGCAGAGCTGGGAAGGAACAAAAAAACTTGTGTTACACTTTTGAGAGAGGGTGTCCTGAGGCTGAGGCTGTGACTGGAGTGCATGAAATGGGCCCTAGAATTGAAACTAGCTCAGGTATCTCTACATAGCACGGAACATATTCAGGTTTTGCACAGAAGTAGTGTCCAGTGGATAGAGCACTATCCTGGGCTGTCAGAAACCCTGCCTCAAGTCCCTGCTGCCCCACAGGCTCCTTGAGTAAGTCATTAAGGTGTTGTAAATGCTGTAGCTATGTTGTTAACCCTCCTCATCTATGTGCTCTTACTCTGGAGCATAAGGGCCCACATGGGAAGTTATGGTCCTGTAGTTACATCATGCTCATGAAGATAAGCCTCTATCCCCTGCTGTGCCTAAGTCTCCCAATGGGAAACTGCAAATAATACCTTTGTCCCTTCCAGGAAGGTCATGGGAACAAATCCTCTGAAAACCTTAGGTATCATGGTGGGATGGGCCCAGGCTGTGAAGGTTCTTCTGGCCAGAAGAGAGGTCACTCTTCATTTTCACTAAATTCAAACAATAAAAATAAATTAAAATATATTTTTAGGAACCTTCCAGATTACTGCAAAGAATTTGCTGCTAAGTAATACTTACATGTCTATGAACAATGTTTGTCTTTCCTTCTTTCCCCCTCCTTTATCTTTCCTTCATTCTTTGGTCCTTTCCCAGCAGTAAGCAGTCTCCAGCATTTCTGCTTCCCATTGCTCCTTTCACAGGCTGTCAGCAACAGAAACTAACGTTGCGATGCCAGCAATTGCGGTGTAACTGGAACTAAAATGTAAGAAAGTTATGTGAGACAACAGCAGTCAACCCTGTACCCTCTCCTGCAGAGTCCAGCTAAATATGCTGTCAGGAGGCTAATAAATAATCCAGGAAAATTATAACATCTTGCACAACCAGGCATACTACACCTTCCTTCAAAATGCCTTTGAAACATCTACAAACTGGGAAGGAAACCATGGTGACTTTCTGATTTGGGTAGGAAGTAAAGTCTTAGAGTTTTTCCTCCCTCACCCACTAGGAAGCAGGGAGATGACTGATGATTATGTTTTTCATATATTAAGGAGAGAAGGAGAAAGGATTTGTTTGAAATTTTTTGGTTTATCTGTGGTTCTTTGGTCAAGAATTCCATTAAGTTGCAGATATGAGTATTTTAAAACAACATCCTCTATATTGCATGATGAAAGGACAAGGACCCCACATCAGAGGTGCCTGGGGAAAGATGCACCCAATTAGGTGTGTCTGTAGGGTGCTTGCAGACCTTGCTCACACACATACAGATCAGCTGGATGCAGCCCAGCTACAACCTAGAGGGTGGTGGCCACACTACACCCTGCTGAGGTGCAAGGCAAAATTAGCTCATCTTTTTAAAATACTGATGTATCTCCATCAGTTCCTGGTTATCATCAAGACTGTGTGTAGGCCCACAGTGGCTTAGCAGGTAGAGCTGATTCTCGTTTTTCTCTGAATAGCTTCAGAAAACCTGACCATCTGTGCTTTCTCTTGGGTGGGAAAATTTTGCACATGGCATTAATATGCTTGCTATACATATGGGCAACCTCAGTTTAAAAGTCAAGCAAGCTTCCCTTCATGATCCACTCAGAGCCCGGTCACCATGGGTCCTTCAGCAAGGTGCAGTTGTGGATCCAGCTGGAAAAATTCCATCCAGGGGAGCAGCCATATCTCCCAGTGCTTGGTAGCATCTAAGTTTTGTTTCATGAACAAAACTGCCTCTGAACCCTGGCGTTTCATTTCACAACTCATTTTAAGCTGGCTACATGGTAATGGCAAGAGAAGGCTAAGAAAGGTCTGCAAAACCCAGCCCAAAACCAGGGTAAATGCCTGAGTTTCTGGCCTCTGTGAACTCCCAGATGCTGCTGTAGTGATGGGGAGAGGTGATGTACCTTCAAGCCTTCAAGCTCTCGCTGCTCGCATCTCATCTGTGTCCTAAATACATCTGTGGGACAGGAGCTAGAAAAGCTTCGTAGTCAGCTCACATCTTCAGCTCATTTCAAGGTAGAACCAAAACCATCTGTACTGCCAACATCTGCTGCCTGAGGGACCTAATGACCTGGGGTAAGATGGGCTGAAGGGGACACACTAGCTCTAAGCTTAATTTAAACCAGTATCCACAGGCCCTGACCTCACTGGCTGACGTGCTTCCTGCACAGCCGTGACTGCCAGAAGAGATCAGAAGATGGCTGGCACCAGGATGGCTCTTTACATCCTGGGATTTCCCATCAGTGGGCAATCTGTGCTTAAAATGGCTTCCTGTTTTCTTTACCCCCCCCCCCCCAAAAAAAAAAAAAAAAATACAGTCAGCATCCGGCCCAAATATTCCAATGATATTACTTAAATTGATCTTTCAGCTTAGACTATTTCAATTTTCCAGACTGCATTCAGCCCCATGAAAAAAAAAAAGGCACCTTATAGACCGAAAGGACTCATTTGTTAAAAAAAATAAATGGCAGTGGGTGTGTGCTGCTGGATTTATGGCTGAGAAGGTAATGCACAAGCAGTGCCCTGCACTTTGATAGCTTAGCACTTCTGTGATGTGTGAATGAAGTCCAGCAGGCCCAGGACCACGTTAATCTCAGGGTTTTGATCTCTGTCCGTAATGAGATGCCGGCAGCCTGTACTTCAAAGCCTGCACTGATATAGATAATCTTGTGAAAGGCTCTCTGCATTTCCAGCCAGCTTGTATTGGGGATTACAGCGACAACAGGAGGAGATGATGGAAGAGGAGGTGCTTGTTTGATGCTCACTGCTACAGTTTCTTTCTAATATTCCTTTTGTTTTTAATTTCTGAAGGGTGGTGTGGTCCCCCCCCAACTCCAGCTCAGCAGGACTCACTCCATCAGATGGACACAGTGTGCTACAAGACAGATGGGGTGACTGGGATTCTCTTCTGCCCAGGACATCTGTGAAAATACAGCTATTCAGTGCTGAAGTGGTGAATGCTACAGAATCTTGGCTGAAATATAGGCAGGGATTGCATTAGAAACTGTACAGGCTGTTAAATGTTATACTTCCAGACTTCTGAGGTTCTTTCCTTCTCAAAACAGTTGTAAGGGAGTAGGGGAGAGGATAAAGATGACAGGAGACCACAGGCTATGAGAACCATGTTATAAAGCAAAATGAACACTAGTTTCACATACACAATTATGCTTTATGTTGAAAGTATATAATTTTCAAGGCGTGTCTGACCAGGAAACAGAACTGAAATATTTTTATGTTGACGAACCCTACTGATCTAAGAGAAGAACAGTGGCAAGAACTTATTACAAATGTGGACCTTGATCACTCTTCCAGCAAGAACATTTATAGAAAATTGGAGCAAAAGTTAGACTATAAATTTAATTGGAATAAATAGACGTTAATATCTGGGACACCAGCACCAACTACATTGCTCTCAGAAACCTTGCTGAAGACTACTCTAACATATATTTAAGCACAATTAAACATATGTTTTCCAGGCCTGAAAATGAATAATGTGGTATTGGGTCTGTACTACCGTCTGTCTTATAGGGATGGCAGTGCTGACTGCAGTATGCTGAAAGAAATCATGGAGGTGGCAAGAGCAGAAAAGTGATTGTACTGGATGAATTCAGTTACTCTCATGTGCACTGGCTAATTGCCACATGGGGACATGAAGTGCAGGTTAGTTTTGGGGATGATACCACTGACATCATCCTGACATTAGCAGGTTAGTGACTCCAGAGAGGAAACCCAGCCCTGTACTCAGGACAGAGCAATGTACAGCAGTTCAATATCTCATAATGGAAACATCCCTCTCTCTTAGTCACCACCACACATGGTGTGATCCAGCATCCCTGCTTAAGGATTAAAGCCCCCAAACTCTTCCACAAGCATGGTAAAATGCAAAGAGGTAAACTGTGTAAATGAAAAAAACTAAAAAAGGAAGCTAATGCAGCTAAACCTTTCCTACAACATGGTGAGCACTGGATGGAAGACACTACACTGGGAGTGAAGTGACATGAACAGTACCCAGAAGGAGAGGCTTAAGAAAGGGTGAGAATTTGCTTGGCTAAATCACCAGGTGAAAGAGGTTGTTTGATTTCTGAAAGCATCATTCAAGAAGCTTTATCTAAATGGTTATGGTACACTCCAATGGGTTAAATGTAAAAATATAATTAGGTCATAGAATAGTTTAAGGAGCAACTGCATAAAAATGATCAAAGCTTCTTCTAAATGCTGCTTCAACACATCAGAATCAAAAAGTTTGGCAGAAGTCTGTGGGGCCAGCTGAAACCCAGGGTTAAAAGCAGTGCTTGGAGAGGACAAGACCACTGCAGAGAATCAAGGTAAATTCTTGGTGCCCATGGTCTTTTGTAGCAGAAAGCAGGAGATTCCCCACAGAGGAACCTTCCTGGGATAGCACTCTGCCAGGATGTATCCAAAATTTGCGGGGATTGCATGGAAGAAGCCATGGCACAGCTACATGGGATGCGGCCCACCAAACTTCCAGGAGCAGATGACAAGAGAGTCAAGACAACCTAAGGAAGGCTGGATTCAATTACTGAGACAGTGCCCACCTCACTGAATACTCCCTTGGTATGTCAAGAAGCAAGTGTGCCACTAAGGTTAAGAAAGGTGTTAGGAGAATCTGAGGACTGTAAGCCTGAGGTCTGTGTCAGCCAAAATAATGAGTTATAATAAAATATCAAACTAGTGGACAACTTAACAAAATGTGGTCTGGATAGATATGATCTACTTGGTAAAAGTCAACATGGCTTCTGGAAATCCTGCCTTTCCAATCTCTTCAAGATCTTGAAAGGAGTAACAAGCACGTTGGTAAAGGTTATCTAGTAAAGTCTGTCCCCACAGAGTTTTAGGGAAACTAAGGAGCCAGGGGATGCAGGAAGTCCTGGCATAGAGAAATGGCTGAAAGGTAGGAAACAGAGCACAGAAGAAATTATCATTTCACTCAATAGAGGGAAGTTGCCGGTGGAAATTTCAGGGATCTGCACTGAGGTCTGTTCTGTTCAAAATACCCATAAATAACACGGAAAAGGGCATGAGCAGTGAGAGACAAAGGTCACATATGATACAAAGTTGTTTAAAGTAATAAGGTCGGGTTGTGACAAATTACGGAAGCATCTTACGAGACGGTATGAAATGTCAGGTAAAGTTTAGCGTAACTAAAGATAAAGCAATAAAGCACCATGAAAACCAGTCCTAGTTTCACATATCAGATTTTGGCCCTTGAGCTGACCATTTCCTATTGAGGAGCAAGGCTTTGGGATTAGGACAGATGACTCCATAATGCAAAACTGCAGTGCTGCAGAGATTTGTAAGCCCTTGCAGAAGAACACAAAGGACAAAAGTAGTTTTCATCTGTTCAAGGGGACACTGGACAAGTACTTGGAAAGAAATCCATTGCAAGTCACTTGGCAAATTGCAATGCCAAGAGGAAATTGGGACAAGGTGGAAATGCAGCAATGGTGACTGCATGGAGGAATGAGTATACGTAGCTGATAGAGAGCAGCTGGGTTATGGCCTCTGTCTTACACTACATACTTGTGGTGAAGCTGATGTTTAAGACATGGCATGTCTGGAGCTGTACCTCACAAACTGACTAGGGATTTTAAAACAATGGTATGAGATAATTACTGCTCATGAAGCCATATGTGAGGCCAGTGGAACAAAGACTAGATGTATCCAGTAATTATGAGAGACAGAAGGGCATACATATTCCCAGTGAAACTGCAGATCTGCACTGAGAACCAGCAAAAAGGGTTCGACTGGTTTAGCTGGGAAGCGCTCAGAGACTGACCGGTTGGGAAGAAAGTTGACTGGAGCAAGTGATGAGAGTGCATTTCTCATCTGAGCAGGGTTACAAGGGTCAAAAGCTAGCTCTGCACTGCAGGAAACAGGGACACTTGCAGATGGCCTGTCTCACAGGGTGGGTCAAACACAATGATAGGGGCAAGGAGGTCTGTGAGGGAAGAGATTTTGAAACAGTTAATTTTATATTTACTTTTAAAAATATCTTGATGAGAGTGGCCAGATGAAATAAAGTGGAAGGGGGATACAGAAAGTGAGTGAGAGGAAAGATGGAAAGAGAATGAGAGTGTTTAGGACTGAAAGGCTCAGAAAAAGCACAAGAACAGACGGGAAGTCAGAGCAAGCCTAAAAAAATAAGAAAGAAACGAAGGTAAACAAGCACTAGGAAACTAAAAGATGAGTTACAGTCCATGGACTAAAGCATGGGCATGGAGGCAAAAGTGAGAGATATACAGGTGAGGACTGGGATTTCAGTGATGTGTTATGGACACATCTGTTATGTCTCATGCCCAGCTATATATCAGCTCACTCCTCTGTCTGCACATCAGACTCACCTTGTGTGAAAGCTTCTGGTAAATAGAAGAACTGGAACTTTAATTTTTTCACAAGTTTGTAGCATTAGCCCTCCATGCAGAAGATGCTGCATATGTCCCTGACCCAGCCAATTCCCCTTGGTCACACAGGTACCAACACAATCCGACAAGCTCCAGGGCATCTCAGTTCCCAAGGAGGGTTGAAGATCGCAGTTCAGAAATCCTGATGCACTCATCTGCTGTGTTCATCCTCAGGCCTGACATGGCCCCTGTGCCCCAGGAACCTCCCAGAAGGCACAGTTGGTGGAAAGACAAGGAATATGGAGAAATGTGTTTTTTCAAGCTGGGCTGTCTCAGAAGCAGCACACCACAGCCGTACTATCAATTATAAATTGAAAAAAAAAAAAAATACCAGAGGAAAGATGAGGTTCATAGCCTGTGATTAGGCAGAGACCTTAATTTATGCTTGCCTGTATCCAGAGTATGTCTGCTACTCTGGGCTGAGCCTACCAGCTTTTGCACGGAGAACAAAAAAGAAGCAGATGCCATCAAAGCAACATACTGACTTGCTTCATTAAAACCAGTAGCTGCCACAAAGAAAGTTTCCTGCAGGACCACTAGTCAAGCAGCATCCTCTTTCAGGCAGGCTTGATGGAAGGAGAAAAATCCCAGCTTTTAGTGCCTCGCTCTGACTCAGCTTCGCTTGGACAAACCACACTGCACTGAGCGCGTGAGGCCATGCACGGAGAGGATGGAGCATGAGGAGGACGGACACAGTGCGAGGAAGCTGGAGGGGACACACTCCTCTTGTTTCCTACTCCTCACAACAACAGCACTTCGCCATGCTGAGCATCTGCAATCTGATTCCCAAGGTGATGACTGGGGGTATCTGCTCCCCTCCACGGGTACAGCATTTCCCTTCTTCATCAGTGCAGGAGCACAGAGTGGAAGGAAGGGTGTACAAATAAATAAAATGAAAAAAATTCCCTGGCTTCAGGGGTGCAACAGCTGGAGATGTTCTGCACTCACAGTACCTAACTGTCTTTCTCCAAAAGAGAAAATCCAAACTAAGACAGCAACAAGAGATACTTAACTATTTTTAAAACAAATTACCTAGTATGTAAGTAAAGAAAACAGATTATCAAAACTACAGGCCTCCTCCTGGTCTGGAAATGAACATGAATCCGGTTTCATTAATGGCAGGAACAATGACTTCTCCTCTGTGAGGCAGTTAGACATCCCTCTGTTTAGCAGGACAAGAAAGGCAGTGAGTTAAATGAATGTCTCCTGCTTCAGAAGGCATCCCAAGCCATTTTTTTATACCACATGGTAAAGAGAGGATTTGTTTGTACAGTGTAATATATTATTAGATTCTATCAAATATACTTTCCAAATATATAGCTCCATCCTGTCTCTGTGCTTCTTCAAGATATCTATTTATACACTTCCACAATCATAAAATGCTGTTATTCTTACTTGAAAGACTTTCTTGAGCATAAACTGGAGATTTTCATTAGGCTTTTTACATCACCTACATGTTATTGCTTTTAAATTGCTTCAGAAAGCTAAAGAAATCTCTATCCAAGCTTTTATTTGGTTGAAACAAGCACCTGCAAGATATAAGCAGAATTATTTTCCTAGGAGACAGGCTTATCATGACTTCAGCCAGAGGGAATCTGTGTTTTATCTCACCTGATGCAATACACCTTGTTAGTCTTAATTCACACTTCACTTCTGGTAACCTCTAGGGCACCTTTAATGACTACTGGAAATCTCTAGCAGGCTGTACATTTTAGGAAGAAATCCTTTGACTGAAATCAATGGTTTCTAGCTTCTGGAAAGGTTTTACTTCTTGTTTCCAGCTACTACATACTTGGAAACTCTCCCAAGTGCTTCTGACTATATAGTGGCTGTAGAAATGCAGTTTTACTGCCAGGGGTGCAGCCATAAAACCAGCCCAAAATCTCATCAGCTCTCATTCTCTGCTGCCTTATTTGCCTTGCCTGACACCCCATACTACTAATATCATAAGACACGTATTTGCACAGTAAGAAGTCATACCTGACGTAAGACACCAGAGCATCAGTCTTGGCAGCTAGCAAACAGGGTTCCTGCCCATATGACAGTCTTCTGAGAGGTCCCACACTGCAAATGTTTCACAGAGAGGTGTTAACACCTTCCCAGGAGGCACCAAAGGCGTCTTCCAAAGTTTCCATAAGAGCCAAGAGTCCCTCCTCCATTTGCAGCACTGCAAAAGCATGTCTGAAGAGTCTTGAATTTCATCCACCTGTGGAAGAAGAGGAGGCACTTCTAAATAATAAGAACACCTTTGCAACATTATAAGATAAACATTTCAAATTCCTCATGCCTCTGTGATACTGCCTCTATTTTGCAGGTGAAGGAATAGTGAAGCAAAAATCCATTGTCTGTTCTGGATCAGAGAAGATCAGTGCCAGAAATGCAGTCAGTCATTTTGACTCCCTGGGCTAAGAGCTGTGTTACTGTCAGTCGGCTCTTGTGGTCTTCCCGGAGCCAGGCACAGGCCGTTACATGGCAGCAGGGTCATGAGAGCAGCAGTGCCCATAGCACTGCGGTGCCTGCCGAGCCCAGCAAGCAAGCAGCCCTGCTCAACAGCAGGGTGCAAGTTATACACGTTTTACTACTATGCAAAATATCTTCTCAGTGTGCTTCTCACCTTTACAGCTGGTGCTTTATGGAACTTGTTTTGAAATGGAATCCTAGAATTAAAAATAAAAACAAAGGAAAAAACTCCAGATCTTCTGGGAAAGGTGAATGGAGATCAAAAATTGTATTTTTGTACATGAAGAATCCATATAGAATTTTTCTCCCATGATTAATTTGTGAAGCTGTGCTGGTAAATCAGGGAAGATAATAGCAACTAATAGAGGAAATAATCTGGCATATTTGGGGAAAGTGAGAGAATTTTTTGGAGATTTCTATTTTGTCAAGAAATAGGGGATATCTGTCAGCTTAGAAAATTTCTATGTCTCGGTTCTGCATCATTAAATACCAGACCTCTTGAGACCAGAAAAGAAAAGTCAGAGTTGTTAAATTTTCAAATCTGCTACAGAAGATGGAAGAAAATAAGGAATGCTTTTCTTCCTTGGTGAGCTATTACCTAGTACTAGTATAATTCTGAAAATATGTCGTCTTCATCAGAAACTCAGTTATTGCACCTCTTTGTCTGCTCTGAAATGTCTGTATTTTAAAAATAAACTCCTGCAGCCCTCTGACGTGATGAAATCTAGTCACCACATTGCTGCTGTTACTCTGCTGCATGCTTGCTTCACGTTCAGGAGCATAGCAGAGCTCTTTACACGTCTCTCCTGCCAGAGGCTTGTTCTTGGCTGGCTTGTGAGTAGTGTAAGCCCACATCTTCTAGTCTGAGATCTCCTTATATTATGAGAAAGAATGGGTTAGATCACACATTTGCACAGCATAAGAATAAAGAAATATCTTTATGACTCAGATATACAGTTAGGAAAAAAAAATGTGACAGAAGTGTCTGAATTAAGGCTGTCCTGAAACTCTCTATTTTCATCCCAAATTTCAACTTGCTTTTTTCTAATTTCCTTTCTGTATTGACATACAGTTATTTAGCCAGAATAATGTTTCAGAGACAATTTATTTTGTTTTCTAAAATCGACATCTAAGGATAAAGAGATACTTCTGCTATGAAAACAGGGACTGGCACTTAGTGACTCTGAAGTGGCCTATTGCATGCCAACATACACAGTTCACACAGACAAGTGCCCATTGACACTTGTATGATTTTGGCAGCTGTGACACAGATGCATGTCTTCCAATACTCACAGAAGACCAAATCTATTACACATTTAGGTGAGTTTTCCCTCAGATGTAAGAACTAGGGAAGTTATAGCACAGCTTTCAGTCTGACAAACAGTTTTGAATTTTACTTTGCGGATTTTCCATTATAGTCAATGAGAAAATAGATTTACAATTTATTTATACTACCTAAATCCCCCAGCAGTCATTATCTACTTTGTATTTAAAACATCTCATGTTCATCTGTGTAGCATTAGTGATCTAGAAAGTGGGACATTAAGAAACAGGGGTAGAACAAGTTTGGTCCAAGCCTGTAAAGATGTCTGATAGGATCCATCTAACCTAATTGCAGCGATCTAAAATATAGGGTCTGGTTCACCTTGCTACAGCAAGGGTAGGTCTCACTGAAGGGTGAATTATCCCATTCTAAAATTGATGTCTATGTAGTGATTCCAGTTGAATGAGCTTAGTCCAAAAGCTTATTATGACAGTGCCTGCCTAAGTAGTGTATCCTACCTCATTTCCAGAAGATGTGATTTTAGGAATCCCATTTTTCAGAGGACAGTTTGGTTTTCATTGCATTGCATTTCAATGTATGTTGCAAACTCAGTATTTGAAGTATCCCTCTGGAGATAACCTGAACTTGTCATAGCAAATGAACATAAGACACTATACAACTACTTCCTCTCCTTTAATGTTTTAATTTATTTATGCAGTTTGTCTGCTGGATTTTTAATTGCACTTTATTTATTTTGTTGTTGTTTAATCAAAACCTTATGCTTTTTTTCTATGCAATGATGAAGGAATGTAAGAGTCATTGGATCAGACTTGTAGATTAAGCCTGTGCTGTTCTAGCACAGACAGAAATAGAAGAAATGATTTCCATATAAGGCCCACACTGTAAGCCTGGGAGCAAGAAAATAAACCATATGGGAAGCAAGATTTCTGAAGTTACAACACCAAACAACAAAATTACACTGACAGGAATTTTTAGAGCAGCTAGCTAAGAATGCTGGGATTTCCATGTTGTTCTGGATTTTCTATCTTGCTTTTGAAACTAATTACTACACAGTGTTCAATATTGTTAAAGTAGCATTCATCCTGCTCTCTAGAGCTGCATCATTGGTTGTTTCTTCTGGGACACCTCACTTCAAATTATGCATAGACCAGAGGTTACTGAGCAGCTGGTGGTCTGATTGCAGTTCGAAGTACTGCTGCACATCTGCCTTTCCAACTCAGAGGTATGCTATATACCTTCAAGGTGATATTAATACCAGAGCTACTAGAAACCACAAGAAATTATTGTGGTTTGCTGTTTCATTCCAAGGTCTCAACTCAATCCAGATGTACGATTCAGGTCTGCATGGTTTTTCAGGAAACCTGGACAAAATTCTTCAAAAATTGAGTTATTTCATGGTTTGTGACACACAAAGCAAAACAAAACAAAAAAACAGCCAAAAACACAAATAAACCCCAAACACCAGAATTTACAATAGGAGGAAAAACCTGGTGGCTTTAATCAAACTTCTGTATGCAATTTTTGTATGCGATACACATCCTCACAAAATACACACTTTAAAGAGCTAAAAACAAGTAAAGTGATGTTTGTAGGGAGAAAGAATATGTTTCATTAGAGCAGCTGATCTAGTTAGAAAAAGCTTGGGGTATACCAGCTCTTCACCAGGTCTGAAATGGAGACTGCAAACTTCAAAGCTCCTGTCGGATGTGTGAAATGGCTTGACTCTGCCTGAGCAACAAGCACAAAACCTACCCCCCAAAGAGGCCCTCCAAGGTCACACCATCAGCTGCCTGCATCCTACAGCCATTCCTCCCTGGAGGCAGCACGCTTCGCCCCATGCCTGACCTGGTGGGAACCACCCGGGGGAACTGGAACAACCACCGTGCACTGGGGTGAACTCACACGGGCAACGGGTAGACCTCTGACCGGGAGGAGAGCTTTTCTCATGTGACAGCTGTTCTTGCCCTTCAATTCTAGCTCTCAGTAGAAACCTGTAAAATATTTTAAACTGGTGGAACTCTGCTAGATGTTACAAATTATGGATTTAGATGGTTATTTAGCTCAATATGATTTCCCCTTCTAACCTCACCCTGGCTCCTGCTCCTTCTTTTTCCCTTGAGGTAACCACATTATCACCTCTCCATCTGCAGTATCCCACCGTTTGCTCCACAGGAACAAACTGTTTGTATACAGGTGGGCCAGCCAATTACCGTATCCTGTGAAACATGAACAGGTTGTTCCCAGTTTGCACTCAGCCTTGACATTTACTGCCTCTTTCGAATCTGATGTTCCAAAGACATGAAGACATAGGAATACTCAAGCTGCCTTGGAAGTTTGTTCTATGATATGATCATCCTCACAGATAGAAATCTGTGTGTCTCCCTCCCCTTTCAATGCCTTCCTTAGCTTTGAAAGAGCCTTCGAATATCCTATGCCTGTAATGTGACAAAACGATCATGCCATCTCCGTCTTTCTTTTGAATAACCAGCCAGAATGAGCAGTTTAAAGTACCTTAATATAAGGCATTGTCTCAATCTCCAAAAGCTTTTTCTGGCTCTTTTCTGCACTGTTTGAAGTCACCAGACCTGGGAAGAGCTTTGGAGGAGTGGCACGATCAGTTTTATGCTTAGATTTTTAACCCCTTTTCTGATCTTTTCACTGCTTTTCCTTATACTCATGTCATGTTAGGTCATGTTAGGTCGTCTTGAACTACAGTCCTGCTATACTGATTTGTTTTCAACCGCAGAAACACTAAATAATTTTCATAGATATTGCTTTTATGACATGGCCTCTATTTCTGTTGTATAGCTTTGCTCCTTACTGGAAAATTCAAATTTTATCATATTAAAACAGACTAACAGTTCTGGATAGTTTTCATAATTGAATCTAGCATCAGGTTTTCCATGAAGTGAAATTCAGGTTAATAGCTGTCCAAACAAAATAAATTTTAAAATATCATAAAATTAATTTTATTTGGCACTTTTGAAATTCTTGTGGTATATCAAGGTTTATAACAAATAAGCATAAGCAAATTAAAGATTTAATCTGCCAGATATTCAGAATAATTATTTATAATAGCTGTTGTCCAACAGCCTACTTAGTCTTTAACAGATTGCAGTCATTTATCATCCTCATGTAGTTGTAGCACATTATCTTGCTCTTTCCTAAATGGAAAATAGTGGGGTTTACTGAATATTTTATTTTATATCATTACTATCTCTCTTTCAAATAATAGTTCTATATATTTTCTTCCATTTCTCTTGTTCCTGATACAGGTAAAAAGTCTTTTCAGTGTCCTTTGCTTTATTAGTCACATTGGTGCCAGCTTGCCATGCCAGTAATGTTTTCATCTTCCCTCTTCGATGTTTTCTACTACAGAACCAGCAATTTCTGTTCATTGGAATTTTGGGGGGGATACTTTCTATTTATTTTATTTATAACTTGTTCTCAGTTCACCACTGCACCAGAATGAGTTTTAACCCAAGGTTGTCTTGTCTCCTGTCTGACTTCCCTAGCTATGTTTATTTTGTCCACCTAAGCAGCTCCTTTTAAAGAATTCCCAGGATCCACTCACATTCTTTCTGTCCACACTCTTCCTCACAGGATTTTCACTTGTAATGCTCCTCAGCTAGACAACACCAGCTGGTAGAAGCATAGGGTAACTCCCAGGTGGATCCACCTGGATAAATGCTGGCCCCAGCTGTCAGCACCTATATCTCAGGGAGGTGGAAAGCTTCAACCCTGATGAATGAACCTTTCCCATGCCCTCTC